CCTCCCCGTCCTGCTGTGGAAGCTGGGGCGGGGGAAGCTGAGCGCCCTGCTCTCCGCTGCAGAGGCCTTCACCCCGGACCGCTCCCAGGGCCCTCAGCCCGGTTAATGCTGGGCCGGCGCCGTTCCGTGCTCTCCAGTCCACTGTGGTCTGCGGGGGTGCCAGTCATGGCCGCTGATGCCCTCAGCAGTGGTCACCCTCTCTCCAGAAATCTCGGCAACTACTGGCAACTACTGAGTTACAGACAATTGTTCTGAGCGATTTTTACAAATTTAACCCAACACACGTACACTCTAATTAGCATTCAGAATTATCCTTCATCCACATCTAAGGCCAGGTATATTTACACTGTGTGACATTAAATGACTTTTCTAGTGGCTGGGAGGAACCAAGCCGAGATGTTTGTAAAAACAAAAAGTGGGGGTGGGGGTGGGGGTGGGGGAGGCGGACTGCAACGTCCAGGCCAATTTTTTTCCTTGGGTGAGTCAGCTGCTCCCAAGCGGAAAGGCTGGCCACTGGTGACTGCCAACATGCCCGATGGACCATGTCACCACGTGTGGCCAGTGCCAGGGTCCCTGCTCCCTTCCTGGGTGCCCAGCCTGAGATGGCCCATGCCGTCCTGGAGAGAAGCAGAGTGGGCACTGTGCCCGTTCATAGTGCCCAGGCCAGGCTGCTGACCCGCTGGAGGAGTGGTGCCCTGGGCCAGTGCGTGGGGCCAGGTTCTGGTGTCTTAGCTGAGCGTGGGAAGCAGGGTCTACTCCCGAGTGGCAGTGGCTCTAAGGAAACAACCAATGGGGTTACAGACACAGGAACGGAAGCCAAGCCGGGAAATGCTGTTTGGGGTCCAGGGAACCCCGGCACCTATTAGAGCAATCCTGGTCCTGGACGAGAGAAGGAGTTATCCAACCCTAGGCCATATATGTCACAATTGTTTTTGACCCCCAGTAGCTTTTGTATTCATCAAATGGTAACGTTGCCCCTTTCGTATTGGGGTCATTCAAGTGCTGCACTTACTCTGGGTTCCTGCGAACTATGCACAACATCTCAGAGAATGGCACACTAACTATTTTTCTAACTACAACACTGGTGATTGGGGGGTGGGGGAGGCTGGGTTATACCTACATGTGGCCAATGGCTTAGCTTCTACCTTGAGAGACGAAAGGGAAACTGTACACTTGAATTTTAATCCACCATTGGCTAACTTGTGCCAGAAGGAACACACATCAAAGATCCAAGAAGCAAAACTGATCACTAGCTTAATTTGGGGACTCCCTGTGGGAGGAGTTACCTTGTCTAGAACACACACACCTGCGAGTAGACTGTGAACTGGTTTCTTGGCAACCAGGTCTTAAAAGCCCTTTAAAATGTTCTGGACAGCACAACTCCTGGGTCCGTATGGTTGATGTAAGTATAACTAAGTAGTGAAATTGTACGGTATATGTCTACATGCCAATAGTGTACACCTGTATGTGGGATTTGCTAATGTAACCATTTCAATAAAAACCTATTGAAAAAGCTGCTTTGCCGCACGGAATCCTATTAACCTGTCAGCGAGGAGTCTTACAGAAACCCCAGCCAGCACTGGCTTAAGCAAAAAGGGCTGCCACGAGGGGCTCACAGGAGCTAAATGCCAGGGGGACTGTTTGTTTCAGCGGCGTGGCCTGGTCCGGTCCTCAGACACGAATACCGGGCTCATTGCTAGCTTTGCTGCCTCCAGGTAAACTTCAGGCTCAGGCACAGGTTGGTGGTAGCCCTGCGAGCCGTGGAGCTGATCTAATTCCCCAAGAGGTAGCCCAGGCCAGTATGGCATTCCCTTAACCCTGCCTGCTTGCTGGGAGGCACATGGTCATCACCAAACTGGCCGCCGTGGTCACAGAAGTAGAGTGTGCTAGTAGTCAGGGCAGCATGGGTTCCACTTCTGCCACTGCCTTCGGCTTCACCTGAAAGACAGTCCAAGTTCTAAGGCGCGGTTCCCACAGCACCCGCTCTTCTGTGCAGCATCGTGATTGTGCTACAGGTGCCCCATTCAGGTAGAAAAGAGCGGAGCCAGGAAGGCCTGCGCATGAGTGCCACCCCTGCCACGTGCAGTGTGAACTTGGCAGGATTTCACCTGTCTGGATTTTTGTTTTATCGTCTCTCAAATAAGGATCATAAAATACTGTTAGGGTCACCGAAGGAGGAACGCACGAGGCCAAAAAGGGTAAAAGATTATGAATTTATTAGGTCACCTGGATACCACATGGGCTGAGCCCCCAAATGGCGCCAGCACCCAAAGACGGGGAGTCAGAGGTTTTTAAAGGACTCTAGGTGGGCTTTTCCTGGGCGGAGAATCCTCTGTGCAGGCCTGGATGCTGGGAAACTCCAGAGGGGAGAGAGAATGGTTTCAGCAAGTGGAATGTCCATTGTGAAGGGGGTTTCGATTTCATTTATTTGGTCAGACCTAACACCTACCTCACCCAGTTAACGTGTGAGGATTAGATTTAAAATAATGTAAGTCTAGTATCCCAAATACACAGACAACTCTTAGAATGCAACAATAAAAAGGCAACACGATTTATTTATTTTTTTTCAGAAAAAATGTTGCTTTATTATGACACAGGAAAGACTACAAGCCACGAAGGAAGGGAAGA